TTATAAACCTAGTCGTGCTGATCGATAGGTTCGGCAAAAAAAGAAAGAGTTCGATTCTCTTTATAACCGAACCCATCAATCTGATTCAGCTAAGCAAGGGAAGATCTTGGCTTGTACCAAGGCGAGTCTGTTAAGGTGTTCAGCAAGGCGACTGAAGAGATTGGTTTGTGCCAAACCAAGTCCCTTAAATTTGTTCGGCAAACATCGAGTGAGCTCGGCATTCGATATGTCCGAGCTGTTTCAAATGATAGACAGAAAGATGAAGATTTGCCTATAACTTAGGCAATCAAATAAATGAATCAAATAAATCGAAGATATCAGGAGAAAATATTGGAGAAATATCAGCAACTTTTCAAACTGAATCACTGAATTGAAGGAAGGTGTGTCACCTTGAATCAAAAATCACGAAAACCCTAAAGGGATGACCATCTATAAAAAATGGAAGAATCCAAGGTGTAAGGTACGTTGAACTCTCTTGGTATTCTTCCATTCGTTCTAGTATCTTTACTAACTTAAGCATCGGAGTGCATTCGATCGAAGCGCTTCGATATTGGACAGTTTGTTCGTTTTGTAGGTAAAGGAAGACTGGGAGATCAAGATCAGAAACACATTAATTTTTCAATTCCTTTAGGAGGTATTCTCAATTTTTTGCCTCTTACGCTATTTATGTCAATTCAGTCTCGAAACTAAATTGTTTTTTCAATTCAACTTTTCAACTGTGCAATCTGACTCGATGTGATCCTTCCATCAAAATTTACTGTTAACTTATGGGCCATTAATGCAAGGAAAGACTTTTTGGGGCAAGAAGGACAATTGTAAGCTGAAAGACGCATTTTTCCTTACTATATTAGCTACTGTAAAAATGTGCACACGAAAATACCGCCTTCCACTCTCAAAATTTCCGCTATTTAAAAGATTTTCCCAATAAATTTGCGAGAAATTGGTTCTTTTTTCACCAAAGAAAATTGAAAATTATTCTCCACTGTCGCAATAGCCAATATGATGTTGTTGTTGTTGTTGAACTTCAGACAAGAGAATCAGAGTTGTGGATCTCTCTGACGATGAAGCTGGTGAAATGTCATTATGTTCCTTTAGCGTCTGAACTGATGTCCTGTAAATCCCACACTTTTATCTTTATATATGTATATAGGTTTATATAGCAAGTTATTATTTCTTTTGAAATGTTAATATGAAAAAATTCGGGTAAATAGTAGTTAAAAACTATTTTAGCTTGTAAATATATGAAATCGTTGTAATAAAACTTATACCAACTAGGTTTGATGTACAAAAGCATGTTGAATAAGCTTGGGTTGGAATTGGAAGGGTTTGGAATGGATTGAAAATGAAAACGCGAGATTTTGTAGAAAAACAGGCAAAACCTTCTGGAAGATTGAGGTAAACTACTTATCTAGTAGGCAAAACCTTCCGGAAGGTCGATGACAAACCTTTCGGAAGGTTAAAGGAGATGTTTGTCTAGTAGACAAACCTTTTAGAAGGTCTATGAGAAATGTTTGTCCAGTAAATAAAATCTTCCGAAAGGTCGATGACAAACCTTCCGGAAGGTTAATGAAAAGGTTATGTCGAGTAGGCAAACCTTCCGGAAGGTCGATGAACAACCTTCCGAAAGATTTTTGAAAAATTTGAATTTTTAAGTTACGAATAGCCTATTTTTCTTTCACTATAAATACTTAAGGACAACTCCTTTAGCTCCATTTCAACACTTCTAACTCTAGAAAACCTTAGAAAGGAAGAAAGAGAAGGAAAAACACAAGATCAAAGGGGATTTTCACTTTGGATTGAATCAAAACCTTTGTTTTTTCAAGAACATCAAGGTAGGAGTTTCTTCCTATTCTCTTACATTGAGGCTAGGGCTTATCTATATGTATTCTTTTTACTTTAAATCCTATGTATATGCTATGAAAACATGATTCCTTAAGATTTTTGCAATCATTACCATGTTTTAAACAAAGCTAGGATTATATAACCATGAGATTTGTTTTCTTGGCATAAAACCCTAGTTTTCAAGATTTATGAATTTTTCTCTTGGTTCTTCCTTTGTTCTTGATTTAGAAATCCTAGTGCTTTGTGGTGAGTAATGAAATGATATTGTGATGATCTCTTGCTTAATTTCTTAAATTGTTCTATTATATTACAAATTGTGAAATTTGGAAATTTTGGACTTCATTGTGATATTGAGAAAATGTTTGTTATTGCATCTCTTGTATGGTTGTTGTGATGGACTTGAATTACATTCGAGTACTGCCATAAAGTGTTAGAGGTTAGTCTATCCCAGTGGCGGTGAGATGGTTTCCTAACACTTGTAGTGGTTTGTTGATTGTGGGAACAATCGCTATTGTTCACTTAAGTTCGAGCCTGAGGGTGGGTATATCTTTCCTGAGAAGGATTCGTCAATGTCGTGGGAGACAATATACACCCTTCCTAAAGTGGTTTGTATGGTTGTGGTTGGGTGAACGAGATAGAGTCGTTGTATAGATTCATGGGAAGTAACCAACGTACATGAGAATATGGGATGACACTATTGAACGATTATTGTTTTGTGTAAAATTGGTTTTCTACAATAGTTTGTGGAGGTATGAGACTCCATAAGAACTTGTGAAAAATGGTTTATGGTTGAAAATGGTTTATTGTTGGGAAATTCATTTTTATTGTTCATTTAAATTATTGTTATTGCATAAACTTGAGATCCTTGAAATGTACAGGTTTTTATTTCAAAAATTGATATATGATATTTGTAAAATGAGACCGAATTGTTTTACATGTTTTCTAAACCTTGTTCGAGTTTGAGAAAAATGTTGCTACGGAGCTTAGTGTTCACCCCCTACAACTATATATTTTTCAGATTGTAGTTTAGAGGAAGAGCTTGGAGTTGAAGAACAGGCGGCTTGGGAAATCCAATTAGAGGAAAGCGTGGATCCCGAGGGGAATGTCTAGAGTTGATCCCTCCATGCTTTAGATTAGGGGATATATTTTGATACATTAAAAAATGTATTTTTGTTTATTCCGCTGCGAGAAAATAATTGATTCTTTTGGGATATAATGGCCATGATTGGCCTATTCTTTTGGGATGATATTGTAAATGTTATATTTGATAAATGAAATGTTCTTTAATAATGAATTATTTAGTTGTTCTCATGATGTGAATGGTTTTTGGATTGTAATGCCGTCCAAGGTGGGTTTTGGGGCGTTACATGTCTAACAATGTGCGAACACTGAAACATTCATGATTAAGCGATAGTATTACTTTTGAATAATGACGACAGTTCAATAGTATCTATTGATCTTTTAAATGGCACGGTGCTAATTTTAAAGGGTAACCATACCATAATTTTCAAAAGAGCTAATTACATAAATAACACTTAAACTACGTCATTTATGTCAATTCAACATCCAAATTAATTGTTTTAATTAATTCAGTCCCTCAATTAAGCAATCTGACTCGATGTGACCCTTTCATCCAAATTTTCTGTTAATTTTAACTCAAATCTTCAAGTGCTTATCACATGTGTCGGGGATTAAAGAAGTTAAGACATACATGTGATGTGCACGTGAGGTGGTTGTTACATTTAAGATGCAACGACTTTGGACGGAAGGGTTACATTCAGTCAGATTACGTAGTTGAAAGCAAAATTGACACAAAAAATTAAATTAGGAGTTTAATTGACACATATGACATAGTTTATGGGTCATAGTAGGCGTAACTCGTATCTGAAAATACGGTGCAATGTGAATGATTTTGAGAGAGATATTGATAACCATTATATGAGTTTATTTGAGACCGTATGATACACTTATTGAAGTCTGTCCTTTTTTATATTATAGATGTATAGTTTACTCTTTTTAAAATAAAATTTTGTTTTAAACATAAAAGCCCACTTGGTAGTTAAGGGTCTATTGGAAGATTGTTGGAGTTTTGTGACCTTTAACTTACAAAGTGTTTTAATAAATACACTAGGATTTGGTTTATTTGGAACTCTTAGTGAGATTGTAGGTTATAGGTGTTTAAAAATTGGAAAATTTGGAGGTCATCCACTTTTCAAGTCTTATTTGGACTAAAGTGCACTTATAAATTTTGTTTGGAAATAAGTCTATTTCTGATCCTCATTGTCCAAAATACCTCAAGTAATTATATTTAATTAAAATAAATTTAAAAATTAAAATTCTTAAATTTTAAGAGTTAGTATTAAAAAATTTTTCTCTCATATATATATATATATAGATATAGACACACACACACATTCAAAACAAAAAATAGTAACATTTAATATTAACATTCAAAACACAAAATAGTAACATTGAATATTAATCGGAGAACAATTAACAACAGGAGCAATTGATAATGCATACTGAGAAATAGTAACATGCTCACCAAATAAAAAAACATGGATAGCTGATGATGTATGGGCAAGAACTCACCAAAAAAAATAGTACCATAGAACATTGAACAAAATTGAGGGTCAAACCAGTAACATACTGAGCATTTTTAAGCAACATAGACAATTTTTTTTTTTTTTGGGTGAACCTTGACGGTGCGAGAGAAATTTATTGATTAAAACATTAAATTACACCTAACTAAGGGAGATGTATGTACCTTACCCTTCGATGCAATCTAATTACATTTCAGACAAGTAAACATTAAAAAAAAGAGAAAAATGCATGCATAGTACAAAATGATCATGAAATAAAAGTCACTATGTATGATCCCTACTCCAAGCTGAAAGAACCACCTAAGAGAAGGTAATAGGCTGAGAGTATCAGCTGAAAGAAGCTAAAGCACTGAGTACATCAGCTGAGATGGTTTAGGCCAGCTGCTGTTTTAAATGAGAGATGAGGTGGGAGCAAGAGCTGGAAGGATGAGCCACAAACAGCGGTTGTGGTGAGATGGAAGACTGAGCTGAGAGTAAGGCTGAGCTATGAGCATACGTCCACTAAATAGACTGAAATGCTATCAGATAAGATCATTAGCAGACTGCCTTGAAAAATTAAAGGCCAGGAGATAAGCTATCAGAGGAAGCTGAATCGCCTGCTCTGTAATTTTGCCCAGACTGAATGTCTTGAAAAAGCTTTCCAGATCCCTGCCCAGAGAAGACCAGAATCCAAAACATTGAAGCCCAGATCCAAGATGTAATTTGCGTTCTTGAACAAAAAGCCAGATTGCATAGAACACCAGCCAGAAGATCATTGATCTGAGATTGTCGAAGACAGATTGATAAGGCATCTGCAAGGCTGTTGAAGGATCTACCATCGATTTCCTCTGTATCACTAAGCAAACCAGGGAAAATTGAAGCCCAGGTCCAAAAAGGTAAATGAATCCAAATACCAAAAGAATATAAGAAAGAAAAATGCCTCTCTTTCTTCCAACTTTGCCATCCATGGAAGACTAAGCATATCCAAATATGAATATAATTTGATGGAATTCCAACAGGCCAAAATCGCTGATGAGGCGTGGAAAACCATCCTGAGGAGCTTAAAGCAAAAGGTACAGACTTTATCTTCTCTGTCATTGAACCTCATGTACTATTTCCTAATTTCTGTCCATCACTTAGCTTCTGCGAACCCAGGATTTCTTCTGCCTTGATGCTTTAATCTGCCTCTGATCTTGTAAAATTAAAGCTCTTGCTTGTGATGGTAGCGCATTAGAAGAGCTAATTCAAGTATCTGCCTTGTCTAGAACCCTTTTTCTGGCTAAATAATCAGCCACCATGTTCCTCTCTCTAATGTGTCGTTTGGTGTGTCGTTTGGTGTGATGGACAAATGAAAAGATACAAAGATGAAAAATTGGAGGATAAATAAGAAAAATAAGAAAGATGAAAAAATGGATGAATTAATTTTTTTTTTAACTTATCAAAATCAATTCTTCCAACACGGGAAGAAAAATAGATGAAAAGTTAATTATTTGTGTTAAGATGTATTTTATTTATCTATATATTATGTATACATTAATTTCATATAAAAATACAATGACAAAATATATATATATATATATATATATATATATATATATATATATATATATATATATATATATATTAAAAAAATTTAAAAATAAAAATTTTAAATTAAAAAAAATATTTTTTCATCTTAATTAGAGGTGAAAATTTTCGACTTAACACGATGATACAACTCGCACTCGACACGAATTTTATAACATGAACTTGATTATAACTCGACATGAGCTTAAAAATAACTTGACACGCGAACAAGAAATATAAAAGGCTCGTAGTTTTATGACTCAACATGAATTTGAAACAACACGACTCGATTATCACTCCTAATCTTAGTCAACAAAAAAAAAATTAAAAAAAAATAGTCATTTTTATTTTTCATCTATCCAACCAAACACAAAGGAAGGAAAATATATTATTTATATTTTTCATCATTGAAGGATAGAAAGTGTATTTCTCATATTTTTCATCATTCCCACCAAACGGAACATAAATGTGTGAACCATATAAGTCAAATTACTCAACCTACAGATTGGAGTAATTAGGTCCCTTAGTTTCCACGGAGTACTTATTTTCCCAGAAATCGTGTCTAATATTACTTGTGAGTCTGACTCAATTATGAGTGGATAGACAAGCAAACCAAATTCTTCCAATAAGATTAAGTCATCCATCATCGCTCTTCCTTCTGCTTCCAAATTAGTACCATGCCCATAATAAAATGAACCTGCAACCACCAGTTGTCCCCACTGATTTCACAGAACTGCCCCTCCTCCAGCCTCTCCAGGATTTCCATGAGAGGACCCATCCGTATTCATTTTGAGAAAACCCTCTGGAGGGAACTCCCATTTAATCCATGTAGTAGTCCATAAAAGAGTAGTATTAGTGGGCACCTGTAAGTCAGATAGTAAAAGCTTACCTTGAAGTGATTCAACAGCTCTTAGCCTCACTACATAACCTTGCAACTTTAAGTAATATAATACAACAGAAACCAGTCCTGAAGAATGCAGGTTGACTTCCTCAAATAATCTCTTGCACCTTTCTTTCCACAGCTGCCAGTAAATCAGAAGGGATATGCCTCTGATTAGAGAATGGCTGTAGGATTTCTTAAAAAAAGCCCTGTTCAGTCTAAAAAATCTCATCATAGGTGACTCATGCTGAATTAAACAGAACCCCATTATACTGGAAACTTGTTCCACAACTCTCTTGCATATGCACAATCAATAAACAGGTGTAAATAGGATTCCTCCCCCTCACAGCACAATGGGCATTTACTGGCCAAAGAAACCCATATTTTCTTTAAATCTTCATCCATTGGTAAGGCATGCTTGAGTAACTTCCATCCAACCAGCACAGCACTAGGAGGAGCAGATTGTTTCCAAATAGCAGTAGAAATAGAACAACTTTGGCCTCTTTCTCTAATCAAACTCCATGCAGATTTGACTGTAAAGAAACCTGACTCAGTCAATTGCCACACCAATTGTTCAGGACTATTGGTCAACTCTGCAGAAAATAAACCAATTTCTTGTCTTATACTATCATCCAACCAGCAATTAATCTCCTCTAGCTTCCATTGAGTGCCATCATATACCTGTGCAACCTTAGGAAACACTAATGGGGATTCCTGCACTCTTGAAATCAATGCTCCAGTTCCCAGCCAGTTGTCACACCAAAAATCCGTCTGCTGACCTGAACCAATAAGCTTTTTAGAATGTCTGACCTCAGTGTCAAACCAAGGTAACAACTCTTTATACCCTTCAGAATGGGAAACACCAGAACTACTAAGCATATGCCCCTTCTTGAAGAATTTAGCAGCAAATAGTTTAGACCAAAGGGAATTCTGCTGCAATAATCCCCATATCTGTTTCATTCTAAATGCTTTTTGAATATCTTCAAACTTCCTAATACCCAATCCCCTTTCTTCTAATGGCAAAGTTACATTTTTCCATGAACAACAATGTCTCTTCTTAGTATCTCTTGAATTAGACCAGAGAAAATGACTCATTGCAGCATTGATCTTAGCCAAAATACCCTTAGGAAGGTTTAGACTGGAAAGCAGATGAGTCGGCAAAGCATTCAACACAAATTTAAGTAGCACCACTCTGCCCATATTAGAAAGTAATTTAGAATACCAACCTTCCATTCTAGCCTGAAACTTTTGGAGCAGATTCTCAAAATAAATAAGTTTTGGTCTTCCATTAACTATAGGGCAACCCAGGTATTCAATAGGACAAGACTTTAATGGGATCCCTACAGTTCTCCGCAAAACAGTTCTTCTGGGTACTGATATCTTTGATGAACAATATAATGCACTTTTACTCTTATTCACCCTTTGACCGGAAGAGTCTTCATACTGCTTAATAAACTTCAGCAAATTCACCATAGAAGTCTTATTTCCTCTCAAAAATAATAAAGTATCATCAGCAAATAACAAATGACTCAATAACAATGTACCTCTCCCAGTATAAAAAGGTTTAATTAAGCCAGCCTGGAGTAGATTTGTCAATCCCCTGCTCAAAACCTCTTTTGCAATAACAAACAGGCTTGGGGATATGGGATCCCCTTGCCTCAGTCCTCTTGATGTAGGAAAGATTCCAAATCTCTGCCCATTCACAATAACAGAAATGTTTTGGTTTGAAAGGCAATTCCCTATAATAGTCACAAAACTAGAGGAGAAACCAAAACTGTGTAAAGTCAGCTTCAGAAAATCCCATTCAATTCTATCATATGCCTTCATCTTGTCTAGTTTCATAACCACATTTCCTCCTTCCACTTTTCTGTCCAGCTCATTAATCATCAACTGAGTAGTAGATATACAGTACCCAATGTGTATGTCTTTAATGAAACCATGTTGTTCCATAGAAATAATAGAAGGCAAGATAATACTCAACCTATAGGCCAGGAGTTTAGTAAATATTTTGTAAATAAAATTACAAAGGCTAACTGGTCTAAAATCAGAAAACGAACTGGGATTCATTTTCTTGGAGATTAAGGACAATAGAGTAGCATTAACAGATCTTGGAACTGTACCTCCCCCCAGGAAATAATTAACTGCAGCCTGAATATCCCATTTTATTATATCCCAAGCCTAATGAAAGAATTTCCCAGAAAATCCATCTGCACTTGGAGCATTCTCAGCTGACATTGAAAACACTGTATCCTTGACCTCCTCCATAGTAGCTTTGGCTGTAAGCATATCATTATCTGCCTGTGACACCAAGTTGGGAATAACTGAAAAAAGTTCCTCCTGCAAGGTGTGTGGTTCAGAAGTATAAAGATGTGAGAAGAAATTGACAGCACAATCTGCAATGTGCTTCTCCTCTTCCAACCATGTGTCTTCCTCATTTTTAATTCTCTTGATTCTATTTCTGAGAAATCTTCCTTTGGCTATAGCATGATAAAGCTTAGTATTCCTTTCACCTTCCAATGCCCACCTCATATTAACCTTTTGCTTCCAGTATATTTCCTCCAATCTCAAAAGTATTATCCAGATCTTGTATAGCCTTTTCTAATAGCAGCAGATTAGTCTCTGAAGCATCTTCTTCTATGGCCATTTCTGCCTGCATTAGATTAGCTTCCTCCTTCTTAATTCTCTCAAAAATATTGCCAAAAACTTCTTTGTTCCACTGCTTCAAATGGGCCTTTAAATATTTCAACTTCAGAAAAACATTCTCAATAGGATCAGATGAATAGTTCCCCCTCCATTTCTCAGCTATCAAAGACTAAAAAGATGAATGCTGTACCCACATGTCTTGAAATTTGAAGTATGCAATCCTATGGGGATGGGGTATATCCTGGATGTTAATCAACAGGGGACAATGATCAGACCTGTCTCTGGCCTTATGTATCACTTCTGTAGACTCAAATTTAACCCCAATCTAGGTTTACTAGCACTCAATCCAGCCTTTGCCACATTCTTGCTCTTCCTTGCTGGTTATTACACCAAGTAAAGTCACTACCAGTATAGCCACAATCAATTAATCCATTTTGCCCGAATAAAATTCCCAAAATCCTCCATAGCAGTGATACTAGGAATTGCACCCCCCTCTTCTCTCCAGACTGCACAATTGCGTTAAAGTCCCCTGCTACCATCCATGGCATTGCACTCATCTGAAAACTACTTGAGTGTTCCCATATTGGTCTTCTCAACCTATGAAGCACGGATACTTCGTCAAGGTCGACGTACCCGTATCCGTGCTTCCTAGTTCTCAACAAATAATCACACCGAGCATATACTACTGTTATCCAAAAGGCCGAAGAACCCAAGAATGAAGCCTCAACTGTTAGAGCTTGTAAATGAGAATTCACCACCTTCACGTCCAACTTTTGATCCCACAAAATCCATACATGTTTTTCCGCCACAACATTTACCTCATAAGAAGACATATTTAAAAACTTAGCTAATCTAACTAGACTTTGTACCCCCTGTTTAGGTTCCAGAATTGCCACAAAACAAACATCATGCAACTTCAGTAGCTTCTTCAAACGCCTCTGTTTGGGACCTTTCCCTAATCCTCTTATATTCCATACGAGCAAATTAATCATTTAAAATTGCTTGGAGAAGTTAGCCTG